GTATTTTGTTTTGTTTTTAGTGCATTTTGTTTTGTTTTTCGTGTATTTTGTTTGGAAGTCGGTTTTGTTTTTTTATTAAAAAGTTTTTTTGATGTACTTTTTCTTTTTTTATAAATTCTTATAATTAGAATAAAAAAATTGTCTTTTTTAACCGACTTCCCAAAAGAAGGAGCGACTCAAGTCGTCTGCATTTTTTCATGAGAGTTACGGGATAACTCCACCCCTGGTAGACCGATTTCGAAAATTCCTTTTTTATGTAATATACTTTCATTCTCTATTAAATCCCGAAGAAGTTGCTAGACAGGACGTTATTTATTTTACCATTTTTCTATTGCTATCATATTTAAAGTTTATATTTCAATCAGCGAGCGCGTGCTTTCTATCCTTCGTATCTACACTTTAAACTATAAATTAAATTAATAATGGCCATGTGTTAGAAACCTTTCCGAGTTTCCAAGAATAATGAATTCTTACTCTTTAGATTGATTGCCCCATTTCCAGGACAGTAAAGATTTCACATGTGCTGTGCAGTGCAATGTACATTTTAATGGTAGGACTTTAAGGAAGACATAAAAAAAACGTCCAAAAGAGAGATACTGACTATTGGAGATGGGGAAGCGAATCCGAGAAAGAGATAGAGAAAGAAGTGGTATTTTAATGACGACGTTGCGTTGTAGAATTAATAAGTTACTTTAATTTCTAATTACGTTGATAATTTAATGACGTAATAGATTTTTTGATATCATTATCCAAATAACAGTTTTATATCGCTATCTTACGGTTTTAATAAATACCTAAGATAATACAGCAATAATTAAGAAAAATAGTAATACACAGGTGTGAACAATCAGATACACGAATGTGTAGTAATTTATTACAACTGGCACTGAGATGTTTAGACATTTCCTTGTTCGAGTTAAACTGCCACTTTATATCTTCAATTTGTAAAAACCCGACTTACTAGTTTTATATACTATTATGGGTTACAAGCGAGCAAACAGCCACCTTATTCCGCCGAAATGGCGAAGCGACCGCTGCCCATAGAGATCCGCAATTACAGATGTGTTGTACCCTTAATCGACGGAGGACAAGCAGAAAAGAAAACATTTCCTCTTCAATTTCGTTTCCTACACCTTCAAATCCACTTGCCCTTCCCATCACTTCCTCCTAAGACGATAAGGAAAAGGGACTAAAACAAGCTTCCAGCACCACACTCATCAAACGAAAAGCGAAATTGCTTCCACTTCACGTTTTTATTGTGTGGTCGTAGTATTGCACCGGGCGGCCCATTCGTGCGAAGATGTTAAAGCGGGCTCTACCACTGATAAACTGTTGGTATTCTTTGACCACTTTAGGGGTTTATTTAGAACACATTGGCAGTCACTGATCCATAAAGAATAATTAAAATCAAAACTCAATAGAGTATTTAGAGGAGCAACAAATAATTGAACAAAATGTCTGCAAAAGTTTTTAATTTGCTAATAATAACCTTACAAAAAGGCTGATTTTAGTGTTGGAAGTTAAAACATGACTAACCTTTGTTATGTTAGTAAATATTTATATGTATGAATGATTCCTAAAACAAAAGGTTAATGTCAACAAAAATAAAGGGAGAAATAAAATTAACAACATATGATAATATGAAGAAAAAATAAATAAAACAATCTAGAAACGTCTGAATCTAATGAATAAAAAAATAGCCAGATACGATTATATCAAATTAAATTGATTTTAAATTATCCGATTTTTTATAAAGGATAATGAATGAATAAAAAGCTGAAGCAAAGGATTGTATGTGGCATTATTTTTCCTTTAATAATGGTGTTTGTTTTATCCAGAAATCTACATTAGATAGAGGAAAATAATCTTTTTAACGTATACAAAGAGCTAGATAAAAGTAATCAACACCGGGAGTTAATACTTTTTAATTGTTGATAAAAATAAGATTCAGAATTATCATTAACAATCAAAGAATAATTAACTGATTATAAAAATTAACATTGTGATATGTTGTTGTTTTTCAAAGAAATCGATAAACAAAGCTAATAAATACTACGTTTCGAGCGGTGGTTTAATTTTTATGTTACTCACATTACCATCAGCCTGTCTTTTCTTTACCGAGGATAAGCAGTGTAACTCTTCCATACATACATATGTATCTATCATCCGTTATATCTGAATTCGATCTTATGTACATTTTTCACGCAATTAATCCATACTTAATTGCGTAAAAATAAATTTAAATAAATAAATAAACTTAAGTGTTTCCTTGCAGTTATTCTTAGAGGGTTTATCCAATTCGTTATACTACTCTCTTGTTTTTTGTCGCAAGAGGTTTTTTATTCGCGTTATACAGCATTTTTTGTCTAATTGGAATTGTGAGAATCCACGTCAAATTACAATGTGTAATCCTGTGTCTTGATTGCTTGTACAAAAACAGATAGCTATCCCTCTCATTCGTTAAAAAGTAACAGAGACAAAAAATCTTTTATGCAGATTGTTTTACTTCAAACTCACGTTAATGAACGTAATAGACGTTTATGTAACTAGCTTCTCACCGTTTAGCTGAAGTTTTTTGATTGGATAATTGATTACATCAATCACTTCAAAGATGGTAACTATGTTATTATTATTCGATGTTATGTTGGTATTACCCATTTTTTAGATGTCGTTTTTTAATCTCATCGTCTTCTATTGATAGAAAAAAACCTAAACTGTTTAAGTTTTTTATTTGATATAAAGTTATGACATTATGATGACCGGTTATGACCGGTGTACTGGTACATTTTCGATTAGCTGTAGCATTCATGCGATTTCTTAAAATTGTAACTATCAAAACAAAAAAGCAACGAAAGTGTAAAATATGTTCCTAATGCGGTTCTCTTTCAAGATCAAGAAAGTTATCGATTCCGTTAGAACGTTCTTTGTTTAAACTCTGCAAAGAGGAGGCTGCGGAGGACGCGCGGCTTGGGTTGCGCAGCACCGGCTTCTGCAGTTGGAAGAAATTCAATGAAGCTTTTAGTTCTTTGATAAAAACTTCCTTGTGTGTCACCTGAAAATATACAAGATAATTCAAAGATACAATACATATTCATTTAGTTAATACTGCAAGTTGGTTAATACAACATTTGACAGGACAGAAGTGTGGAAAAATACGACGAATTTTTAAAATTGAATTGTACATACCCTTTCACGAACCACAATATTTCTGACTTCGTTCATAAATTCAGCTGCCGTTATAAACAATGCTAATACAATTCCGCCTATTAGTACGAGGAACGCTCCAATCAAATTTTTAATTTCCAAATCTCCCTCGACATCATTCTTATCTTCCTCTTGCTGAAGTATTTTACATAGTATTAATAAATTAACGTTAACAAGTGGAAGCCTTAATAAGCCAACAGTTAGGGATGTACTTACGTTACATGCTTTCGCACCATATTTATTTTCCCACCATTTTCTCTTTATTTTATCTAAAGCGTTTGATTCCTTTAACTTTAAAATAGCTCTGTTAATATCTGTTCGAAAAGGAGAATCTGTAAGGAAAATAATTTCGTCAAAGTTTTGTAGTAAACGGGAACTCTTAACTGTTACTCGAAATCCCAAGAAGGGTTAACGACAGGCAGGAGGTCGGCCGCAAAAAATAGCGCCAAATACTAAAGTAGGTTTTTGATAAGTGGGTAATATACGAAGTTAGTACATTTGAGTAAGTTTGAGAGTAGCCCCAGCGGTAGAGAAAGTAAGGAGTAAAAGATTAGCATAGTATGGGCCTGTTATGAGGAGGAATGAGACACATGTTACAAGGAGAACGTTAGTTATTAGTATGGAAGGGTACACCGGTAGAGGTAGACCTAGAAAGAGATGGACCGATTGCGTGAAAGGTGACATGATCAGAAAGGGAGTGATGCAATCATCAAGCATCTCAATAGATAACGTATGATAGAGTTATTTGGGGGGCAAAATCTTTTGTGCCGACCCCACGGGAGTAGGATAAGGAGGAGGATGATGGTGATGATGGAAACTCTTAACTGTTATTAAATAAATTACTTACTTGCAGGCATAGCTATACCATAATCTTTAGAATCTAATTCCCCGCCAACTTTCTTTAATTCACAATTTCGTCTTAATTTATATTCAATAGTAACAGATTCCATAAAGAATGCATATTTTCCTTTACCGTTAATAACTCTCTTTTCTCCTTCGTCATTATTATTTACTAGAACTACCTTATTTGCATTCATGTTTTCGTACATTCTTTGATACATCTTGTCTTTTGAATTCTGTAAATGTTATTTATTTTGGTGGGTGTTCTATATAATAGGTTTGCTCTTATAAATTTATCGGAGTGACGGGTTTATAGAATTTAATTCCGAAGGTAGATCATATACATGGTAACGATCCTCCACTGTGAGCGTGCGTATTTCGAAGATAATGAAATAACAATCGCGTAACATTAGAAACACTATCCTTAGTTGACCACCATCTTAATTGATAACTTCACAACACACTCTACTCGAATTGCAAACATTTACAGAGAATAATTAATTTGTTTTATAATAACAAAACGCATCATTCCACCATTCAAAGAAAACTGTCACCTGTCATTCGATCATCGCCTTGACATCTATTATACACGATGCACTTTCAGCCAGTACTCAAAATTATTAGTTGCCAGTAACTTTAATCGTTCAAAAAGTATAAATCATTTCGCCCCGTTAATTTTTTTTACCTTAAAAAAACCAAGTGTAGAGCCACCATCTATAGCACCATACAGGATTTTGTTTTGAGTTGCCAAGTCTTCGACGCTGTTAATCGGTTCATTCTCTAACGCAGAAGTCATTGACGCTGAGAGTTGGGCAATATATGTCTGACAAACAATCACAGCAAAGAACCACCACATTGCACAAACCCATCTTGTGCCTATAGCTCTAAGGAGAAATGGAATAAGTAACCATCAGATTAATATTATAAATGCGAAAGTTTAGATGGATAGCTGGATGTTTGTTAGAATTTGTACCCTAAACTGCTGAAAGGA